GACATCTTCTGAAGATGTTACTGCCTCGCTTGTAAGCTGAAACTGACGAAGCAGATTACAAGCGAAGCAATAACATCTCCAGAAGAGGGTTGGCAACCCTTAGTGTTGGCTAAACGTCGAGAACTACTCTCAGAAGATAACGGCCTAACAGCCCGATCAAACAGCCTAACAAGTTAGACGATGGCCGTGAAAGCCTAACGCATTTAAAGGTAAGTTTACCATAAACTCCAACTTCCATGATCACGATACAAGATCTAGAGATGCTATTAGAGCGCAACGTTTTAGGTTGACAAAGAGCATAAAAAAATCGACTAATGTTGGTTTCTATAACTTTTTGCCAGATTAAGTAAAAAGTCTTCACTTGTTATCGCTTAAGCTTAAAATCAAATCACACTTTTTAAAACATTGTTTCTATTCAAAAACAGAGTACAGCTTTTACACAATAGTACTAGTTTGGTCAGCTTATTTGCCTATTATGATGATATTTCATGTGTTTATATTTTTATTTAGAGTGTTTGTCGTTTCTTAAATTGTTAATATTAAATATCTGTTTGCAATATTTAAATTTGCAAAAACTGTATATGCATGCTTGTAAAAATTGTCATTATTTTTTCCTTTATCTTGTCAAAACCATACTATTGTTTTATATTTGTCTAAATAAACTGTATTTTATTCTATTTTATTTATCATTCGATGGACTTGTTAGGTATTGCAGTTATTTTTTGTTGAGTGAAGGTAGTGGCATAATGTCTAAAACCAGAAATAAAGGTTTACAGTGTTCCCTATACTCTGCTCTTGCAAGTATCCTTAATATTCTTTTTTGTGGCTTAAAAATTCGATCTACGTCAGAAGAATTACCCCCAAACAGTTTTTCCGTATTTTAAAGGGCTATAGAATAGTGCAAAGTAGCACATTCTAATGGTACTTTTAGGAATCATATAGACTAAGTTGCGTATTAAAAATATATTTTTAGCAAGTCTAGAACTTAAGTAATTTGTATGAACACTCCAATCCAAATTATCATCTAGAAAGTTTATTAATAGTTTAATAATTTTCTTGAGATATACTTCGAATCGGAACTAAAAATCTTATTCTGATTTTTCCTCTTCATTTAGCCTCAGCCTATTATGTAAAAACCATTTTTTCTTTCTGGGTATCACTATCTATTTAAATTTTTCATATGCTGATTAATATCAGTAATTAATGAGAGTTGTATCATCTGCGAAGCAAACACATTTTATAGGAAAAATATAGTAAAATAAATCGTTCAGATAAATAACAAACACAGTGGGTGATAATATCGAACCTTGCTAAGAAAAACTGCCTGTTTTGTATTTGTTAGGTATGATCTAAATAGATTAAGAGTGTTTCTCCTAATATCGTATTTATGCATTTTTTCCAATAGTAATTCATGCGAAACACAATCAAAAGTCACACAATGTCCAAAGACACAAAATGATCTTCCTCCAGTGAAGTATTTTGTGTTTTTCTAGATATTCTATCAAACTAACATTTAGAATACTTTCAAAAATTTTGCCGAAAATGGAATTATTAGCACGATAATTTCCAATTTCATCTAAAGCTTCCTTTTTGAACACTGGTAGCACTTTTGTTACTTTTAATACATCTGAAAAAATCCCTTCAGTATCCCTAATATCAGAAAGTCATGAAAAAAGAAATACTACAACGCTGTTTTCCTGGAAATGTACTAAACATTTTAAAGTTTGGTACAAAGGCCTACTCTACAAATTGAAAAATACACTATCCAGTAACTATTTCCAATTTCTCCTAATCAAGTTCTACATATCAAATACTTAGATACTTCTCCGTTAAGTTTTATATCAACAATATAAAATTTGTCCTATTAACTCTGGGAATACCAGGGCAATTTTCTTGGACCGCTGCTTTTCTTGCTCTATACAGAAAATATACCAAAGTCTAATAATTTTACAACCATTTTGGAGGGATGTTAAATTGAAATTTTAATTTCTCAATGCATTTATCAAAAATATACATAAAAAATAAGAACTTATAAAAATGTATACTCCCTCGGTAACAACTGCGTTTTTGTAATTTTTAATAAACATATAGTAATAAAAAATAGTAATAAAAAAAATAGTAACATTTAATAAACAAATTAAATACCTCATAAACTATTGAATATTTTAAAACCAATTTTTTTGCTTTATATTGGTATGATAACGCAACTTTTTCTGCAAAATCAAATATTTATAGTGCTTATTTATAATGCAAATAATAATGATTTGCACCTTTGTTTTTCAAGCTTTATTTATAGTTATTTAAAAAACCTTCATAAAAACATGCATTACAGCAGCAGTTAAAAGAGAAAATTGTGTGCAAAAAAGGCTCATTTTTCGTTATTTAAACAATGATCCCGCTATAAACGCATATACTTAATTGAAAATATCTTCTATTCTCACCTAAACTTTTATATAAAGTTTATTCCAAACTGAACCGAATTACATTTTGATTTTATTTGATCAGGTTGTAAATAAATTTATTACAAATATTTTTGTAATAAATGGTGGAAATATGGTGCATCCACCAAAATTTAGAATTTCTAAAAAACTTTGGTTCTAAAGAAACACGACAAAGTAATGGACAACCAAATATTCCGTAAACCATTCCAAGGACTATGATACAGCTTTATTCATTTATCTAACCTATTTATCGGTAAGATTTTAATATTATTTCAAACGGTAAAATTGTGGAGCATACAACGAATTAAAATTTGGAAATAATTTATTCGATATGTCATTCTCCCAATAAAAAACCGTTTTCAACCGTTTTTAAAATTAGTCTCTTAAAATGAAATTCTGGATGTTGAAATATTTTGACAACAATTTCCGAAGTAGATTCATTCTATTAAAATTTTGGTTAATTCCGGTAAAATAAAAGTAGATATCTAGTATTTATCAATTAACAGTTACATCGCTTAATTTTTTAGTAACTTTGTGTGTTCTTTTCAGGAATTATGACCCTAACGCGAACCCCGTGTGAGCTCGACAAGATGAGCCTCTTCCAAGATTTGAAGCTGAAAAGGAGAAAAGTGGATTCACGCTGCAGCAGTGACGGTAAGTTCTGAAAGCACAGCCGAAAGCTTTTACGCCATTTTCTGCATCATTTGTGTCGTATCATGCTTCAGTCGCTTGGTATATTACGTTTTAAAAAGTAGATATTTTGACGTTAGATTGGAGTTTTTATAAAGGGTTTTTTTATAATTGTATACAACAAACAGTTTTTAATGAATACATATCAAAAAAGTCTAGGGATATTTTGTAATATATCGTTACTATGTTAGCAAAGTAAAGACAAGTACTGATAATCCAACATCTTACAACAATAATTAGGTAATTAAATCTTATAAGGAGAGAAGGAACACAATTTAAGTAAGAAGTTGAATTTTGTTATCGTGAAAAGTAAAAATCTTCGGACTTTTGATTTGATTTTACTTTTAGTGCTTTTTACTGAGTCGCTCAGATGAGTTCTGATAGGATAAAATACACATAAGTAAATTTAAAGCGAATGTAAAGACACTATATGTAAAATCAAATGTAAACTGTCTTTTTCTATAGATTTCTTTTTTTTTTTATTTACAAATTCGCATCAACCCGAAGGTTATTAGCTAGAATCAGATTTATAATATTAAATATATTATATGTTAACAAAATTAATAGCTTTTAAGCAGTTTAACAATATTTGTGAATGAACAATTTGCACCAAGTGCTTTCTCTAAGTTTATTGAGATACCATAAGTAATTCTTTTTGGTGAGAAAACTGGACAGTCTACAACAACATGTTTCGCCGAGAGTTTAACGTTACACTGCTCACATTTTGGTTCGAATTCTTAAGTAATTAAGAACTTGTGCGTGGCACTGGTATGACCTAATCTAAGACGAGTTATTGTCACTTGATCCCTTTTTTTAGTGTGGGAAACCATCTCCATGGTTTTAAATGTCCGGTTTAATATTCTGAAGATTGGACACTATAGATATCTTTATTTACTCGTTTTTTCGGGTATTAAAAGCCAGTTAATGAAAGGTTCTTACTTAGATGAATCATTATGATGTGGAATCATTGTCTGCTTTGTAAATAGAAGGCACAGATTTAATAAGAATTTAAATTTTGGTTTCGAACGAATACAAATCATTAGATTTTTTACTTTGCACTTTAATAAATCATTAATTAATTTAGATTGTTAATATTGTTAATATGATTAATTTTTTTATCAATTATTAAGACGATTTTATCGTTTTATGTAACGCATTAAATCATCGAGCAAAAAAACAAAAGAGAGAATCTAATCCTTATCAAAAGGAGACCAAAAAAGTGGCCTCTGATGGCGGACATATCCGGAAATGCGAATGCGCTAAATTTAAATTTTCCGACACTTATTAAAAGTAGCTGTATAATATTTTTCAGAATGTGTCTTAGACGAGAAAGTTTTAATTAATTATTAACAGTAATAGTCTAAAATGCGACACAATTGTTAAAAAACTTCAATATAAATGAGATTTCATGTGACATTTGGGACAAACAATAACATAACCCAACTAAATTTGATGTCAAACAACGAGAGAGACTCTTTCCTTGTTTAATGTGGCCTTTAAAGATCGCACTTCCTGTCTAACAATATTTTGCCCCCACTACCTTTACATTCCCTCTTTTGTCTTTTTGCTCTATGCATTAAATAAAAGTTTTGGAAAATGATGCCATAGATTTGATTAGAAAAAACGAAAAAATTACTTTCTGAAGTTAATGTAAGTTAATGCAGGAATACAACAAAGAGATGACCTTGGCGATATTCTCTTCAACGTCATCATGAACCAAATGATCACAAATATAGACATAACCAAACGCCTAAGATGGGCCACAGTTTTCGAAAGTTTAAATGGAAGTTGGAAATGATGTTGAATGCCAACAATTACCGAAAAAATGTCTGACTGAGGTTGCTCGTAATTTTACTCCCTTTAGGGAGCATGATAGTGTTGGTTACTATCAAAGAATTTGGAAAGCAGTAAACTCTAAATAAATTGTCGACAAATTTCGTCTGGTTGGAGCTCATTGGGTATCGACTGATGATTTGCGGAAGATTTTTTAGACAATTCCTGAGCGGTCTGATATAAAATAATAAATTTAAAAGAAGAATAATAGCTAAGAATATTGACTACTTGTATAACATAATATATGATAGTAACTACTTTAAAAATATACCCAATTATAATTATTGCACGCTTGGGGATTAATTTATTTTGGTAGACAATTAATGTGTTTCTTTTTACAACTCTAACCTTTCTCGTGATGGATTCTTTAATTTAATTTTAATATCTTGATAAGTATTTTTATTTAAAAACCTTGTTACTGTCATACCTCCTTGATAACATCAACCAATACACAGTATTGTAACCACTAATAATCTAGAGATAAGTATCTAGCGGAAGAATTCAAACCGCAGACAGATCTGGAGGAGGGACACAGTATTGAAGAAAATCATCGACCAATATTTAGACCTTTGTTCAAAAATGCAGCACATTTGTTTGTCTGTTTCTTTTTACAACTCTAACCTTTCTCCTGATGGATTCTTTAATTTAATTTTAATATCTTGATAAGTATTTTTATTTAAAAACCTTGTTACTGTCATACCTCCTTGATAACATCAACCAATACACAGTATTGTAACCACTAATAATCTAGAGATAAGTATCTAGCGGAAGAATTCAAACCGCAGACAGATCTGGAGGAGGGACACAGTATTGAAGAAAATCATCGACCAATATTTAGACCTTTGTTCAAAAATGCAGCACATTTGTTTGTCTGTTTCTTTTTACAACTCTAACCTTTCTCCTGATGGATTCTTTAATTTAATTTTAATATCTTGATAAGTATTTTTATTTAAAAACCTTGTTACTGTCATACCTCCTTGATAACATCAACCAATACACAGTATTGTAACCACTAATAATCTAGAGATAAGTATCTAGCGGAAGAATTCAAACCGCAGACAGATCTGGAGGAGGGACACAGTAATTGAAGAAAATCATCGACCAATATTTAGACCTTTGTTCAAAAATGCAGCACATTTGTTTGTCTGTTTCTTTTTACAACTCTAACCTTTCTCCTGATGGATTCTTTAATTTAATTTTAATATCTTGATAAGTATTTTTATTTAAAAACCTTGTTACTGTCATACCTCCTTGATAACATCAACCAATACACAGTATTGTAACCACTAATAATCTAGAGATAAGTATCTAGCGGAAGAATTCAAACCGCAGACAGATCTGGAGGAGGGACACAGTATTGAAGAAAATCATCGACCAATATTCAGACCTTTGTTCAAAAATGCAGCACATTTGTTTGTCTTATTGTAAATATTTTATCAATAGTCGATCTGCCAGGCCTGAAACCACACTGGTAGTCACCAACTATTTCTTCAGCGTATGGTACTAATCTTTTTAATAATATCGAAGCCAATATTTTATATGTAGTGTTGATTAGTGAGATTCCTCTGTAATTCATGCATGATTTCTTTTTTCCTTCTTGTGTATTGGTACAATAATACTACCAGACCATTATTTCGGCATCATTTCTTGTTGCCAGGCCATTTCTATTAATTGATGGATTTTACTTATAAGTTCATGACTGCCTATTTTAATTAGCTCGGCATCAATATTGTCTAGACCAGGGGATTTTATTGTTTTTAAGCGTTTTTTATGGCATGCGTAATTTCTTCCATGCTTGGGGTATTTCTAATTCCACGAATTGATACTCATGTTCTCCGTTGTTTCCACCATTTTCATTATTTTCATCAGTGAAATTTTGGATATTCAGGAGCTCTTCAAAATATTTAGCCCATATCTGATGTTATTGATACATTATCCATTAATTCGAATTCCGGCTTCAACATCCTCTTCTGCTTCTTGAAGGATTTCCTCAGAGTATATATTGAACAGCATGGTGATAGTATATTAGAACCCCACGTTTGATTTTGATATCATCGGATTCTCTTGTCTCTGTATGGATAAATACAAATATTTTTAACATACACAAGACAAAAGAATGAAAACCCGAAAAAAATTGAGGGAGCACAAGAAAGTCAATAAAAATTTTTATTTTATTTAAAAATAAAATTTTTGTGATACATGGTATAAGGTAAACTACAGGAATTTTGTTTCCTTGTGGATTTTAAAGTTAATAAACTCCAAGTAATTTAAAGAATGATAATGCAATAACTGGCAAGAGAAAAATTAGGCATTATTGCTCAAATATTATCAGACAACTGTTTAAATTATCTTAGTACCAACTGTAAATCAAATTAATGTTAGTGTGCTCACTCAAAATCATTTTAATTGAATCCATAACCACTTATCTGTATTTAATGGTCTTCCAAAATATGAGTAGATTCAAATCAATTACTATCCTAAAAACAACTGTATCTCAATGTATATCAAGTGTAATCAGATATCAACTGTATCTGCAGATCTAAGTTCATGTGAATTTATGTAATGTGTTCTCTAAAGAAACTTTGGAAATTGTTATTTACATTAAAAATCACACTCAATAGTAGGAAAAATGGAATGATAAAAACATCCTTTTACTACTTTAAAAAAAAATAAAACAATCCCTAGATTTCTTGATATGTGTACCTTAAATAGCCATTTTATTATTGTTTATAATATTTATAAAACATTGTCAATAGTGGTAATGCACTAGGAGTAGATAAAGTTTGTCGCAATTAACTGACCTGACCTTACTTCTATGATCACATTTTTTACACGTCAGTAGTTGCGAATAAGACGTCGCATAGTCTCGTGTTAGGCCAGTAGCTAAACATAAAAAAATATCAAATTGCGTCCAGTATATTTTGAGTAAAAAATTAAAACATTGAAAATTATTTGTTCCATTCGATAGGTAATTATATTGGGTGATTCCAATGCGAAACTAGGTAAAAAGAGAAGCAAAAGGAAAGCCCCACGGAGTGGGGCTGTGTTTGTTAGGAGAAATAATTATTAATGGAAGGCAAATGCTAGCAAATTATGTACCAGATTCAAGAAATTGATCATACCAGAATAAGAATATGGTCTACACAATTAACAAGAACAGTAGATGCTTGTAGACAAGTCAGTATAAATCTAATCGACATAAAAAATGTTTTTAATGCAATTATAACATAATCAGTGCAAATTAGTAGAAACAGGACCAAACAGGAAACCATTCTGACCAGTATGAAGCTGATTCTGTAGATTTACTGTCAAAAAATCAGTCAGTATAGCCTTGAAAATTATTTACCATAAGAATAGTAAGGAATTTAATAATTCACATGCTATACAATGAAAGATACATAATATTATACCGTTAAACACAGCTAGTTATCGCAAAATGCTAAGATTACGAATAATGGTTAACTCATGTAAAAAGAAAAATTATACAAATTGGGCAAAAATTGGTAAATACAGAAGAACTGAAATAGAAGAAAATCAATACACGAGATAAAAATTAAACTTAGAACGCCTAAACCAACACTTTTACCAAAGGAAACAACTTATAATAAAAAAGATGAAGTCCAAAAACTCAGCAGAGGAACGAGATTCGATAAAAAAAGAAATTTTCATTCAAGACATTTATTGATAATAATCTCATTGAAGGATAAAGATGGAAAAGAAATAAGAGAAAAGAAAAAAACTCTAAAAGTTTGCTCAAATATTTTACCGTGATTTATATTCCTCAAACAAGAACTCAGATAATACTGCAAAGGAAGATCTTAAGAAAAATCCTTTAAAATAAAACAAGCTATGGCATGACTAAAAAAAATAAGGCTCCGGGATCAAATGGAATACTTGTAGAAATGTTAAAGGAGGGAGTAAAATTATTCTCGAAGAATTAAAAAATTTTTTCAAAGAATGTCTTCATAGAGGAGAAACCCCAGATGATTGGAATGAAAGTTTTACAAAACTTCTCTTTTAAAAAGGGAGACTGGGGAAATCTGAAGAACTATAGGCCAAACTTACTGCTGTCCCAAATGTACAAACTATTTATAAGAGTAATAACCAACCCAATTTAGTTGGGTTTGTTATTACTGGTTGGGTTGGTTATTACAGAACTAAATTGGGCCGAAAAGGGATTAAAAGTAAATGGAGTATACCTTAACCATTTGCGTTTCGCAGACGACATAGTACTAAAAAGCACAGATATCCATGAACTGAAATCAATGCTACAAGATTTAAATCACAAATCGAATCAAATAGGATTAAAAATGAATCTCGACAAAACAAAGATATTAAGCAACAGCCTAGAAAACATCACGATAGATAACATCAATATAGGAAAGGTAGACCATATATATATATATTATATATATATAATATATATATATATATATATATATATATATATATATCTAGCATACGCAATTAAAAACGAAAAGAAAAACCAAACCCTAGAAATTAAAGAAGGGCACAATTGTCATGGGCTGCTTTGGTAATGTTGAGCTTCATTATAAAAACAAAAAATCCCAATTCACTAGACCATGCCTTGTATCTACCAGTTGCAACTTATGGGTTGAAAACTATGGCAATAACAAGAAAAATGGCAGAACAATTAAGAATAACTCAACGGCCATGAGAGGGCCATGTTAATATAAGCCTCAGAGACAAAATTCCTAACACCGAAATACGTCGAAGAACTAAAGTAACCGACATCATGGAAAAATAGCGACATTGAGATGGCAATGGGTAGCACATGTAGCAAGACAAGACACCAACAGATGGTCTCATAAAGTGACAATCCTGAGACCTCGAGAAACAAAAAGAAGCGTAGGAAGACCCAAAAAGAGATGGATAGACGATATAACAGCTGTAGCTGGAAAGCAGTTGATGAGAATTGCAAAAGGTTGGGAAGCATGGAAGCACTTGGAGGAGGCCTATGTCCAACAATGGATAAATGAAGGCTGAAGAAGAAAATAACCAACAGGTTAACGTCGAAGCTCGATAGCTATCAACCAGTAGAGCAGGCAGGATT